AACGAAGAACTGTATCATATTTATTTCCCTACGCAAGAAACCCCCTAACTTGACCACCTCAAATATCTGTGACGGAGCAAATATTTATATAACTTTATTCGTCACGATTTCAATAATGTAAAGTACACTTCCAAATGATCTTGAATATTAAAAATCACGTTTACATGGGAATTAAAAAAGTACATACAAGTAACACGTATCGATGCAAATATTTTTATTTTAAAAAAGTGCTCAAAACGATTAAACTTCGATAAGGTATCGGATACAATAAATAAAACGATTATCTCGCGCTTTAAATAAATTCCGAAATTATGGTATGTGCACGAACGATCGATAAAGAACTGAAAAATACTTGACCCATGCTGGGACGTAAGTGTAAATTACCAACAGTTTACGAGATATTTGACAATAGAGATTGTAATCGTCCACGGATATATTAATATTCTACGACTCTACTGTTCCTTCGAGTGAGACCGTAGCCTCGTGTTTATGGTTGTAGTTTCGCAATCATCCTGCCAGGAATCGAGTTCCTCTGCGACAATAGCTTCCTTCTTTACGCTAAAAATTAAAATCCTACATAACTTATAAAGGTTACGTAAAACCTTTACCAAATAATTCTATACTCGTTAATGACTTCTGCAATCGATGCAACTTTAAATTTCGTATAAAAAATTTTCATTCATGACTGTTGGACGATAATAGGTACAACCAAAACTATGATAATAAAAGCTGAAAGTGATTAGTACTATATGGACGAAGAAACGGGTAAAAATAAAATATATGAAAGAGTTACAGAGTGATTTATTACGAGTAAAACGTTGCGGGGGTGGGCAAGGTGAGAAAAGAGATCGTTGTTAAAGTCAGAATAATTAAACGAAGTTATAACTATATATATAATGAATGAAAACATTAGAAATCGTCCGAAAGCACGGTTCGAAATAACTGTAAGAGAAAACGTCGTTGCGACCAATGCGGAACACGTGATTCATATATCGAGGGTAAAATCACGTGCAGGCATATGTTTAAAAACACAATTTGCCTCTGACCAGTTAAAAATATACTCAACGTGCAAATATGCGTGAAATCGATGGTAAAACAATGACTTGTATGCGTTCAAATTTATTATTTGATTAAAGTGAAAATTTCGATTATTGTGTCTGAGAAAATCTATTAAACAGTTAGTAAAACGCATATTATATTAGTTGTTTGCACAAGTAATCTTGCAATCTATTAGGATTCAATCAATATACGACTGACTTTATTTAAAAGATAAATACACTTGAGATACTTGAATGAATTTTATTACGAATGCAATGAATGAAAAACCTTGAATTTTTATATAATTTATACGGAAAAACATTTGATAATTACTTCACCAGTATTTGTAGTATACTATGATTAAGGCAGGATTAAATCGGTTTCTATTTATACCTTGTTGTTAGTTCAAGTAAGGATCATGTAGATGGAAGATTGAATATGATTATTCCATATTCACGAGAGGAACATAAAGATCGTGCAGTATGCTCTAACCGTAAAGTGCAAGGAAACAGAAGAGAAACATGTTATACATATATGCGAAATATACGAAAGGATGGCAAGGAAACCGTGGAACGAACATGCTGGGCTGATCGTTAGAGAATGTTAGGATTGTAAATAATGACGAAGTATATTTTTATCAGTTATTATTTTAGTTGCACACACAGAACTGCTGAAACGAAATATCAAAAAAATGATTTCAGAACAAACTACGATTTCTTCGAATACTCGACGGAGAGAATATCGGCTGTATTACTAATTCAAAGACCAAAAAGGAACCGGAAATCCCACGACCCTTTATCCAGCACACACTCCAAGAGGACAGAGTTTAATTCAATCCACTTACTTTCTAACGAGTATCATGCGTGCTTTACTACTTTGCATTTATACAATTTGCTTCCACGCTACAAGATAATAAAACTCACTCGAATATATTAATAAAGCACGAGATAAATCGTGCCGTCCATTAATGCGGAAGATGTACATATGTAAAGTAATGCGCCAATTGGTCGGGCACTTTACGTAACTTAATTTATCTCTCGAATGAATTCTTATTACAAAAGGGGCTCCCGAGAACTGTTTAAAGAATTCACTGGAACTGATACGTTTAAAGAGTACTTAAAAATATTGAATCGCGATCCAAATTCATTCATGGCAAGTTTCCCTTCGAATTCCACGCTCAACCGATTTTTTTCTTAAATAATATCTTTTCAGTTTCACGTTTCGAACGTATGCACTTATAACGATAGGAATATATATCGCGTTAATTTTTCTTTTAACGCGAAATTTTGGCTCTTTGCCCGAAAGGTTGCCAACCCCTGTTACAATAACTAAACACTAAACAATCGCGATTCAAATGGATTTTAAATCGATATTCCTTGTAAAAACTATGAACGACATATTTGATAAATTATAGAGCCTCGACAAATTTAAAATCTGGCTCCATCCGTAAAGTAAGCTAATAAATATTAGTTTAACACGAGTTTCGAATTAACGTATACTTTCCAATTTGTATCAATCCACAAAATTTACTCAACGCTTACGATGAACTGTATGCATAGATGTAGATCTATATATGTTATACAATAATACGTGAAAGTATATATAGCATTATGTAAATGTACAGCTCATCATTTTTTCCTTCCTTTTCTTTTTAATGCGGAATTTTTGGCTCGCCGCCCGAAAGGTAACCGACCTCCGCCGCGGTACTAAGCGCTACGCTAATTCAATCGCGATTCGAGCAAATTTTAAATAAAATTGTATCGCGTCGTTCGAAGAACGCTGGGAACTTGACAGAAATTTCTGTTCGTCGAGACACGTGGTACAGACGCCAACGAGTATCAAGATCAACGACCAAAGCTGCAGGAAAATAATTACGAACACGTCATTTCCGACGAAATTTCAGCCGCCTTTATGTCACAGCCCTGTAATTAAACGACCCTCGTAGTTGCTTTATACAAGTGGAAGAGCAAGACAATTAGAGCGATTAACTCGGGAGCTCTCTAAATGTAGCCACGCCAAAATCTACCGCTGTAAAGAAGCTAATAAAAAGAGGGCGATTGTTTCGCCTACAACTATTAAAATGCGTTTAAAAAAACCTAAATTAACGATTAAACACGATAGATCGAAAATTCGTAAAAACTGTCGAGTCGAAACATCCAATAGGAGTCTGCGCGACATTTGAAAGAAGAACAGGCTTCGAAGTCGTGTAAAGTGCCAACTATTAAACATGGCGGTAACAGTATAATGGTCTGCGGTTGCTTTAGTGACAATAAACCTGGTAAACTGGTAAAAATAGACCGACCCTCGATGCTTACAGGAAAACTATCACCGACCGATACGTTGGCCCCGTTCGTTTCCGTTCCGTCTATCTCCCCGTGTGTCAAATGGCTTTCGTAGACACTTAATCGTTATCTTCGATGCGTAGACATCTCTGTCGACGAAAATAAAATTGCAATACTGCGTAAAACCGCAAACTAAACGGAGAATTCGAAAATTCACCAGGAAGAAACAATATTAGCTTAAATAATGGTACGAAGCACTCTGCCAAATTGTACTAGGAATTTATGAAACAAAAGAAACGACAGAGTTTTGGAGCTATGGAGTAGCCGTCGTAATAGCCTAATTTATCACGGATAGATGGAAGAGTGAGAAATCGTTCACCAATCAGTGCCATACAACTTTGGGAATTTCTTCGACCAGAATGGGAAGAGTTAGACACAGAATATTTAAAAAAAATTAATAAGCAAAATGCTCGAGATTTTTGTTACTTTTACGCTAATTTTGTTTTGCATTATTAGATAGTATATGTAATATAGATATGAGATTTTATTAAAAAATTAATAAGCAAAATGCTCGATATTTTTGTTACTTTTGAGCTAATTTTGTTTTGCATTATTACATAGTATACGTAATATAGATATTAGGTACGAACATGTACATTCATGAACACAATGTGCATAAAGTTTATAAACACTGATGACATTAAAGAGATGCAATAAATCTCAGACTTGGAACCGAATAACCGTTACCATGTAGAATAACATATTACTCTGACAAGTTGTAAATTATGTTAATTTGTTCGTTTACGTAAAAATTAATAATGTCACGAGAAGTATTTCTGGTAAAAAACGGGAGGTCGTGTAGTCATGTCACAGAGAAGTCACGTGTTGCAAACATCCGCGTAGGCTAGAAACAACCTAACCTTAACCGAGCGTAGTCGGTCATCCGAGGGTTACACGACGAATAAATGACGTTTTATTATACCAAACATTACCGATAAAGATATTTACGTTGCAATCAATGATCTCGAATCTACATAAATATATGATACAAGTTTACTCATCCACTTAACACAAAATAAGTACATCTCAATATTATTGCAATTGCATAATCGGTATTTGCGGAAACACGTGACGAGATGATACACGACAGATAAAGACACTACGTTTATATTTACAAACTCATAATCTCTGCAGCGGTTAGAACATCACGGCGGAACTGCATAAATCAAAACTGCGTAAAAAGCATGCACAAGAAACGAAAAAAACACATTTACTTGTAACGGAGCGCAACACACGTGACAGCTCGTAACTGTACCTTTGCATAAATATACACGCATTAAGAATACCGATGGTTTTGCCATTGAAAGCATAATGCATACGGATAACCACTCTGGACTTGCAATAGTAAAATGTAAACACGACTGAATACGACGAGCTGAACAAAACTGCGTGCTGCAAACACTTTAACCTGTACACTCTCTTGTCAAATAGTCCCTATGATCGTCGTATTCAAACAGCCTCTACGGTTTTGCTTCAAACGATAGGTAAGACAACTAGTCCGGAATTCTAAAGAGAATTGGTTTAAATATCCACCGGGAATAAACAACTTTCGAACGTGCACCTAACCTACAAAGCAGAAGGCACAGTCACGGCACAAGGGAAAGCAATATTTTGTTTTACCTGCATACTGTCGGCAGAGATAATTTCTCCGGCATATCTGCGTGCCAGTTCGATGGACAAACGTGATTTTCCGCACCCAGTGGAACCCAAAATAGCTAAAACTGGCACACGCGACATATCGACCTCTCCACGATCACTCATCGTTACCCGATACTGCGCATGCGCCACCGCAGCCAGCATGTGTTCCTTGTTTCGACCAGCTAACCACGTGACTCGCGAAGGCGGTTGATTTTAAATGAGATTCCGTAAGTTTCACAGAGGCTAGACACACTGCACTTTCAGAATAAATTACAGACGCGAACAAAAACATTGTAAACAGTTTAATTTCACTATAACACAATTTCGTTATATCACATTCAAGTAAAATATACAAAATAAACTTTCAAATATCCAATAATAAAATAATATGAAGGTTTAGATTAATTCTTGCATTGATTTTAATACATAGTAGTGATAACTTATTTATATATTTTTCGCACAATTATCTGCTTGACTCGTTATTTCGAATTATTGCTTACATGCTGTAAATATCTGAATAAATATGAAACATTAGAATTTATTGCGTCATCGATGAATGCAAATAAATTATAATTTGTTGCAAATCGAAGACGCTATCTATCACCTCCCAAGACAGAAAAATCATCGTAGTATACATCGTAGTATTATTGCAACTGTGATTGCATAAAATCATATTTCGCAGTACTGCAAATTGAGCTGATTAGGCATAACACATGGTTCAGTCTAAGACACATGTTTCAATGGCTATTACTACGATGAAACATGAAACATGACGTTACGCGTCTTCTAATACGATCGACATGTACAACGTATTCTTAAAAATTACGAGTAGTTCATACTCTAAAGTCTCATTGCGTAGTAATTTGACTTTGATAACATGGCAAATCACATTATTAAGAAATAAAGTCATGAAAAATTGTTTAAGTATATGCGTTTGCTGAAAACTTAACTTCCCTATCTCTGTTGCATTTTACTAAAATTATACTATCTTGTTCTTGAATGAATTAAAAGAGCATCGACTTGAAAACTGCAATTATACCAGAGTTACACAATTTTTTCACTTATACATTTACTCCTTCTATATTTAGATATAAATTTTATTTCATTTCTCCTGTATCGTTTACTCCAAGCCCCCCATTAATTGTTATTGCACTAATTATACATCTCCCAACATATTTAGTGCGCAACAGCTTAATTAGGACTATTTGCTAAGCCACCATCTAGCTGGTACGGTTGATTCAGTTCTGCTACTCACAAAAAAGGAACAATTTCAGGTTTTGATAAGATAACACAGCTGCTCGAAGAAAAAGTTTCGGTTTACCTAGTCATAAATACAGATAGTATCTATCGCTACTATTTTCATAGTTATCATAAGAATGCACGGGATATCATCCTAAAGTGAAAGGGGACCCACGATAATTTATAAGAGCAAGTTTTCTTCCGATTATATACCAAAACTTTGTAAATTGTACATTTTATTTGGGATACTATAAATCTGAAGAGATTTATATGGATATTATTCTATTCCAGATTTCATATCCCTCTTAATTATTGATGTCTTCACATACACTTGTAGTACTATAGTCTAATGGCACGTAATTCGATACCACTGGTTACATAAATGAACGTATTCATCGTATCTCTGTTCCAGTCTATGACAAGACAATGACAGAAACTATTACTTTTATAATTCATTACACGAAGGAACAGAAAATCCACATCAAATCGTTTCAAAGTATGAACTTGTATCAACTTTAGTCTAAAACGTTCTTTTCTATCTTTAAAAATAAACGAGTTATCCAAACGACTTGTCTGAAATGCCCCACCCTGTGTAAAAATAAAACATAAGCAGGAACAATCGATCGAGAATTTTCCACGCAAATAATTTGTTTGATGAAATGCATGAAAAAAGAACAAACATCTTCGGGGACACTTAAATTTAAATCAATACTTCGTGGGCCAGCTTCGAGATAGGTCGTTAGTCTTTAATCTGTCGAGCGTAGATTTAACCTATTTCCTGCTTACGTAATCGCTAGTACTATTCCGTTCTTTCGACAAATACTCTCAAATATTTCTGCTTAAAAAACTGGCATGTATTTCGAGATTCCTTTCAAGGTAGCATAAATGCCCTACGGAATGTACGCGAGCTGACTGGGGGCGCGATGTTTGACTGGATGTGTGAATTGTAAAGAATCCACTGTTTGGAGTACTTCGATTTATGATCATCCGTTCCTACACTTCCGTATGCCCCGAGATTTTCTTTGAAAAATTCAAACAAACAAAATCTATTTATGGTAACCATAAACGAAGTTCCCACACTTCGTCTGACGCGCGATCCTCGCTATAAAATCACCCTCGACGCTCAACCGAGGCCTAGAAATTCTCTAGCGGCCTCTCCCGCCCGCGAGCCTCAAATTCAAACAATATTTGGAATTATTGGAGGGTGAAATTAATAATCTAGCATTACTCGAACGTCGGGCATTGCTCTCTAGATGCTTCAAGCTTAAAACGCTAGTTCCTTTCAAATCGATAATAATAATTATTCTCCAAATTAAATTCGTTCCATACCTCTCTATTAAAAAACACTCGGATATTCTTATTTTGCATAAACGTATTTTGCGAAAGAATATCACCTTATTTCTTTCACGAATGGACGCGTTATCCTGCAAACTTTATGTTTGACCTTTTCCGTTCGATTGACTCGTAAACTACTTGCACGATTAGAATAAACATTGCTTTTTAGAGCCACGGTGAGTTACACAATGGAGCTATTAACGTCAGCAAACATTCAACCCTTTCTAAACCCTCTGCACATGAACTTTTTGACCCATTCTCGTATCAAGCTCATAAAATACATTTATCACTAAGTAACGAAATGAATCTAACATCATTACTATATAAATTTACCTAAAGTTACTCAAACTGGATACGCGACCCAACGAAACGTCCCGATAAGATTAGGGGTTAAGGCTCCGGTCAAAAATGGCCCGTCGCCCGTCGCCGGAGGGTTAATCAGCCGTACATAATGCTTCACGCATATAAAACGAGCATTTACATTTCTCAAGCGATTGCGATCTCGGTGAATCGTGTGTAAGGTTATCGCCCAACTTCCTTCCAAGTTTTAACAAAACCAAATGCGTACGAGACGACGGCGGAACGTAATCGCGACTTGTGGTTCGCGAGCTTCCGATTCCAAGACTCGAAAGACTTAAATAATTTCACCAAATATGTATTTAGAAACACCACGGAACTGCATCGCGATCACCTGCCTTGATAGCAGATACGAAAGAACAATTAGCCTGAATTACTATTTCTCCTGATCTCGAGCACGAAACTACAACGAAGGAGATTGTTCTAACATCGATATTAACTGGATTTCGCTCCAGTTACTAATGATCTCTCCGTGTTCCAATTTAAGGAACGCGAAGAACGTAATTGCAGTATATAAAAATATTTCACATTTTTTTTGTGCTCGTCAACCCTTACGTCTCGATCAAAGAGATCCCCCTTTTGTCGGTTGCCGGTCTTCCAGACGATCCGCGTGATTTATTATCAATTTTACACCCGATAAAAAGTTTCCCGACAATTTCGCGTTCATCTTCGTGGAATTCACGATTAGACGTAGTATTTCGGGGAGACCCGTTGTACATCGTTCGGTTTATTGGCTACGCGGATGCGTGCACGTTGCCGCTACTTTCCATAATTCTCGCATTTAGCCGCCTAATCGCGGCCTGGCCCGGTCGAAATACTCTATTGACGCAACTGCACGAAAAGTTTCCACAGGAAGCGCGAACGTCGAAGATAAAAAAGGAAGAAAATAGCTAAATGGCCACGCCCGGGGGGGGAGAAACGAACGACGCGAAAGAAAGGGGGTAGAAAAGTCGAGGCAGCGTACGAGACGAGGACAGAGAATGATAACGGCGGAAGGAAAAGGGGAAATGGTCGAAAGAAACAGAGAAAGAGGTCCTCGGGGGCGAGAGGGAGACGGTCGAGGCAAAAAGGAGCAAGGAAAAAGAGAAAGAGCGTATCTGATCGGCGGAATCGTTAGTTTTCGTTCATTCGGAGGCACATAACGCCGTGGACCACGGAGGCTCACTCGTTAAATTTCTGCCTTGGCTTACCTTCTCTTCGGCCAGCGGTTTCAGATGCATTCAGCCAGCCATTATCTTGCTCTTTATGGCGTCGAATTAATTCAACGAGCGAAATAAAGGCTCGTAAAACCGGTGCCGGTCGTCGATCGTACCGTTAATCGCCGTACCATGAAAAACGACACGAGCGAAATGATACGGATGACTAAGATTCAATTATGCTTATTTTTTCACTATTTCTATGGACCTTTGCCATTAAAAAGCCTTGTACGTTTTGTAAGAAACATTTTTTAAATGATACAAAGAAAGTATACTTCAAGAATTGTCTTCTTGACAAGTGAAATTTTTCCCCGTTGATTTATTTAATAGTGTACACGACTTTCAAATATTTCTAATAGGTAACACGCGGCTGACTTTTACCTCGCATTCGTTTTACGAGTCCAGGTAAATGTGCAGCGTTTGCATCTCTATCGCGTTTTAAAAGTCCTCGTTATTTTAAAATTCTATAAAATTTATTAACAAACAGGAGTCACGAGACGAGGGACGCGCGAGGTGTGAGGGGAAGAAGCGCACCAGGGTAAATGATAATAGCTTTATTCGTATAATAAGATAATTCGAAATATAAACGTCAAGGAACTGTCTGACCCTTTTTCCTGAAAAAAAGAAACATCGAAGACTTTCATTTTGCTAATCTTTCGTGGTTGATCGCTAACAAAATATTCGCAGTACATGCGCATCACTATGAATTTACATCGTCGTTTAAAACTTGATTATTAACGTCTGCTTAACGAGCACGTTTTCCGTCTAAACAAAAAAGATCGTCGACCACCGACACGCCCACACAACTTGCATAGTCGATCGCAAAGGAATAATTAGAACCGTTTAAAATGTGTATCGAAAGAAAATGAAAAAAAGAAAAAAAAAAAACTGACCGAGAAACACTTTTCGAACGATGCGTGTAGCTGCGCGGACGACTTTCTAAATTTAAGTACAAAACCTATTATTTTTCTTCATCCTATATTTTCATTCTTACCCTGCTCTCTCTCTCTC